GCGGGGGTGGAGGGGGGGTGGGGGGGTGGAGGTACTTCAGAAAAGCTTTAGCCTGGGCTACACTTGTGGGTAAATCATGTGCACACACATATGTGCACTGGGACGCTGCAGGAATTCAATTCCATTAATTTGGTGGTAGCGTAGCAGTGATTTATGGCCGGTGGAAAATAGCAGAGGGTTACAGGTGCATCAGTGCGTAGCTTCCCGTTAGACTATCACTCTTGATTAATGTGTTAACCATAACGTGTGTGTGTGTGTGTGTGTGTGTTGATATATATATGTGGCGGTGTGGTCAATAAGGCACAGCTTGTGTGTGGAAGCTGCAATGAGCTGGAAGTGATCTGCAGCAGTGTGTGTGTGGGTGTGTGTGTGTGTGTGTGTGTATGTATGTGTGTGTTATCATTTTCTACGTTCACGTTATCAGGATGTGTCAGTTCCGGCAGTATATTTTGGTTTTAATGATAAATTCATGCTGCATACTCCGTCACATATGTGTGTGTCGTAGGACTTTGATCATAAAACCATGGAAACGTAGATGAAAATACAGTGGAGGGAGAAGGAAGCAGCTGATATGTGGGCAATTAAAGCTGCTACTACCACATTTCTGACGCCAGCCGGAGCAGAACAAGTGCAGGTTTAATATCCTGACGGCTGATGGCAGCTTCTACAAGCTGGCTGTTATGGTGCAGATATGAACATTCTCAATTATCTCCAGGCCAAGGAGGAGAGACGACCAAACCAATCCTCTAAATTCAAGCAGATCTTTTGGTTTGTAAGCTCTGAATCGCCCACTTTCACATCCACTAAATCGTTTCACCACTGACCCTCGGTTCCCATTAATCTCACAGATGGCACAATAGCACATAATGAGAGTGAGGTTCATGTGGTTTCTAACTGCCCACAATAGGAATTATAATATTTGCTGAGAGATTATTATACTAGGAAAAGTGTGTGCCATTAAAGTCAGTAGAACTCTGGGACTCTTGGGAACAGAGGGCATTGTTAACGTTGGAATAAAGGAAATATGGGAGCCTGCATTTATGGCACTGTGGGAATACATGGGCATGTCTTGGGATCATTAAGCATCAGAACATAGGTCACTGAGAACATGAGACTTTAGGAACAGAAATGTAGAACCTTGGAGAAGGACTACTGGGAGTTTCAATTTTAGGATTACAGGAATCAGTGACCTTTGCATCAGAACTAAAGTCACTGGAAACTGGAGATCTTTAAAAAAAATCACAAAACCTTAGGACAATAGAAAATGGAATGTGAACCATGGAGTCCTGGAACACCACTAAAAAGAGGGTGTACTTCAAAGAGGGCTTGAGAACCTTGGGAATCCTAGAACAGGTGAATCTTGGGGAGAAAATATACTAGAAACATAAGACATTACAAATAAGAACACCTTAGAAAAGCAGAGTATTAGGAAACATTAACATTGAGTTAAGGAGATTGGAACCATCAGACTTTGGTACCTGCAAATATGAGACCTTGGGAACACATGAACAAGGTGCAATGGGAATGGGGAGAAGTGGCAACTTTGACCTTTGGGAAGAGAGGAAAAAGTGACTCTGGAAAAATTCAGAAGAGTAGCATGATTGGAAGAGGGAATGTGGGACATAGAACACTGGGAACGTAGCAGTATGACACCTAGGCGATTGGAAAATCTGATGTTTGGAATGTGGAATATTTTAGAGAGAGACATTGGGAAATCCAAAAGCGTGAGTACAAAGATACTAGAGCCTGGGTTCAAGGATTTCAATTAGCTTCTAAAACTTTGTGAATATATGTCAGCTTTAATAACCAGATTAATTTATCTGCTTTAGGATTTCCCCTGACAGTCTAGTTCATCAGGCAGATGTGGTAAAATCCTCCGCTGCGTCACGTCATGCTGGTTAATGTTGTGTTTCTTTTTATGACCCACGAACATAACTGTTTAGTCACAGGCTTTATGCAACAAATTACTGTAGATACTTAAGGTGGTGAAGCACCAACCGACAGAAGTGCTATGATCCAGCCAGTTTCATTGCACAGACGAACAAGATCTTCCAAGGAGTGAACCTCATTTAGCTAATAAGCCACAGAGATAAAGTCCTTCGAGTGCTAATGTACAAATCCGGCACAAATCAGTCTTACTAATTGAGCTCAGATAATTCTGCACCACCATCCGTAAATTTATGCAAATACACATTTAATCCACTTTGCTTCCAATTTCACGCTGCTCCGGTGAAGAGGGATTTACAACTCACTTCTCCCATTGTTGGACAACTAGTCATTTGAATTTAATCTGATTCAGCTTCGTGATCGTAGACATGTAGATTAGTGACAGGGAAGGAGGACAGAATACACACACACACACACACGCACACAGCAGCAGCAGCAGCTGACAGCAGCCTGTTAGTGCTGAATATTGCAGTGATGAAACCAGAGATGCTGTCGGCTCCTCTTTAATACATTCACACAGTGCCAGCTGTAGCTGAATGCTAATAAACACCAGAGGGATTTTTTCAGCTGTGCTAACCAGCTGTTTCCTTCACAAATGCAGAGGTGAAGAGAGCGAAAAAAGTGATTTTTGTTCTTTAAATTGGATTAAAAATAGAAACCAAAAGCTTCAAACTGAACTGAAACATCTTATCTCCGTCCCTGCTCCAGTCACTCATAGGGTTGTCATAGTGAGCGTCAAACACGTCTGTCAGAGAGAAAGAAAAACCAAAGCGTGTCCTCCTACCTCTCCTGGTCTGTCTGATCTTTGGGCTCAGCATCGCTGTCATCGCTTGTCTCCGCACTCTCCTGTCGGCATGTTCATGTACATCCAACCACCCCACCCCCCCCCCTCCCCCTCCCCCCACCCCCCCCCCCCCACCCCCCCCTC